CAGAGGGCCTTTCCAGTGGGACCCTGGTGTCACACTGTGTCCACACTTCAGCCCTGAGCCAGCAGCAGGCTTCCTGGGGCCCATGGGTGAATTCACACTTTGTAAGGAGAGGAGCTATGAGGTCAGGACGGGAGAGGGAGGTCCAGTGTTCCCCAGCTCTGGCGCCAGTGTTTCCTGAGCTCCGCCCTCCCAGGTTTCCACCAGTCCCAGCCTGGATCTCAGGCCCCATCACCGAGGTGGCCTCCTCCCCTACCCCACCCCTCTCACGGCCCTATTCCTGGGACACACCAAGTCCAGGCAGATGGACAATCAGAAACTGCGTACCCCACCCCCACACCACTCGTGGACCACAATCCCTCCGACTGAGCAGAAGTCCCCAGAATCTCTCCTTGCACTACTGGGCTAGGCCGCTAGAGGAAAGAAAAGAGCACCCCTAAAAGTAAGAAGACAGGACGGGACCAGTGTGGCCCTCTGCCACGTGATTCTCAGGGAGTGTAGCATATGAGTTCCGGAGCTGACTGTGCACATCCCTGGTTCTCTCTCTCTGAGTCCCCCGGCTGTGGAAGGAGGATGGTCCTGCCAGCAAGCACTTAACAAATCGGCCTGAAATGCCCCATCCTTGGCTCCCCGACCTCCAGGCCCCCAGGAGAGCCAAGAGGGGAAAGCCCAGAAGCCAGGCAAGCCAATTAATTGAAGGCTGAGCCGGGCGCTCAGAGGCAGGGCGCATCCTCCTCTCTCTCCGGTGAGTGCAGGCTGGAGGCTGGCGCTCACACCAGGAGCGTAATGGCTATGCAAAGCAGGGGCCCCTCTTCCGCAGTGAGTGAAAGGAAGCCGTCTACCCCAGGTTAACAATATATATTTATGAGATGTCGCCAGCTGCTCCTGTGTTTTCACATGTGTTTGTTAATGAAAGGTAACCTGAGGGTCAGGTTATTATGTAAATAACTGCTGTGGAGTGGGGGAGAGAGAGAGGTGAACACCCCCGCCCCCCAAAGGCGCTGTCTCTGTGGTTTTCAGGAGATGCTAATGAGTATTGGATCCTGTCACTTGCCTGGCACTCCGGCCTCTCTTTACACAGCAAAGGGATGGAAAGGACAGGCCTGTCTTCTTTTGGGCTCAAATAAGCCACCTCTCCCTCCCTTTCCGCACGACAGGAGTGAATTCACATTCCCTGCCTCCTCCTCCCTGCTCTGCCCTGAGCCCACATCCCCACACAGGCAGGGGGCAGCTGGGGACATTGGCTGGAGGACCTTCTGGCTCTTTGCAGTTGGCCGTGTAGAGATCACAAACGGTCTCCACCCAGCAGGACTTGAAGCCGTCAGCCTCATGCCTCTGGCCCAGAAACCATCAGCCTGGGCCCCCCTGGAAATAGAAAGAAAAAGGTTAGCCGAGGAGAGTGGCCTCCCAGAGTCCATGCCACTGTGTGGCAGACAGAGGTGGACAGAGGGAGCAGGTGAAGCCCCCGGCCCCCCCTGGAAGGGTGGCAGGGCCACTGTAGGCGCCCTCCGCCCTCAGCCTACCCCAACAAGAGGCAACCAGCCTCCTTGCACAGAGGCCAGGAGCAGTGCCGGGCAGTCCAGAGAGGGCCACCTGTGTGTGCCTGCCGTGAGCTACAGAAGCTGGGCGTCCAGGAGAGGCTGAGTGGAGGACAAAGGCCTGTTGGGGAGGGGGGCCAGCTGGCTGGCATTCGTGTGGTTCCCAACACCTCTTTCAAGCTGGAGGCCCCACCAGCCCCTGCGTCAAAGGCAGGCGGCAGCTGGTCCTGACTGTGCAGGGGCCCCTGCCCTCCCCCACCCCACTGTCTGTGCAAAGCTCATTTAGGGGTCTTAGTAATGGAGTGTTGCCACTGGGGTGACTCTACAAACGAGATACTGCGATTCCCTAGACTTCCCTGGGTAAATAAAAGCTAAATATATAAATAATGGTCCCGTGTCGCTTACTGGTTCTGCCTTTGACTAGAGGGAACACACCGCAATGGTTGATTAAAAATAAATAAAATTAGGCTGTTCTAGTTCCTCCAAACAGAAAGACTTGGCTCTTCTCTCTCTGTGCCGGCCTGAGATAAAGCAGCCCGCCACCCTGGGAGCTCCTGGGGAGTTGGCATGAGCTGGTTACGGCTGGTTTTACAGCCCCTGTATAATTTACACCTGCTCGCAGGCATGCAGCAGACAGATACATTTTTAACCACTAATTGTCATGTATATAGGGTCCTTGAGTATCACAGAAACATCCCTCTAGTCTAGAGGAAGGCGGGTGTTCCAGCATTTTCTGTCAAGAGCCGGGGTGGTGAGAAGCAGGTAATTGGGGATGGTTTGCAGGGGCCACCCCCATGAACCAAGGGGCCAGGGACACAAATGAACCCAGCCTGGCCTTCCTCTGCTCCTTCTTGGACATGGTGACAAACGCCGATTGAGAGGCAGCCGCTGTCACCCACCTTCCCCCACCACACTCTCCAGCCTGGCCTCCACAACAGGAAGACCCCGGCTCAGCTCTTTCCAAAATTGCACCTTCACTTGCTGACCTCAGAGCAGGTGCGTGGCTCGTCCGCGTGGTTGCACTCACCGATGGGACACAGACACCACTGGCTAGACGCAGCTTCCTTCTCCTATAACAACAATGTGATGGTAATAATGGCTGGCATTTATCGCGCTTTCTACTCCAAGTGCTTTCTGTGCATTGCCGCATTAAACCCTCGCTGTCCTCCCTAATGCCAGCTCTGCTGGTGCAGCTACTGAAGGAAGGAAACCTTGGAAAGGAAAGAACTTGTCTAGAACCCCACCGTGACGAAGTGTAGAAGGGCGTTCAGACTCACACCTGCCTTACACCAAAGCCTGTGCCTGGGGCCAGCCAAACCTGAAGCTCCCAGAAAGGAGGGATTCTCCCCGAGGCGGCGGGTTTGCTGTACACTCAGCAGACACCCCAAAAATGGTCCTGGGATGAGACGTTCGATGTTTAGTCAGGGCACAGGTTTTGTTGGTACATATCTTGCCCCCAGGTTCCAGATGACGTATTATATCCTCTACGTCAGTTTGACCTTGTGACTGCCAACCCTGACTCCCTCTTCTCTTGTTTTGGGGAAGGTCTATTCCTTCCATACAACAAGCTGTGTGAGTTTGGACAGGTCACTTCACCTCGCAGGTCTCAGCCTTTCCATCTGTAAAACAAAAGGATTGTGTGATGCTGATGACAGAAGATGCTGGACTGGCTTCATGGGCTGAGGACTTGTGTCGCCCAGAGCCTGCATTCAGAGAATGCTGCGCTGAGTGACAGCTCTGCTGTCACCGTCCTGAAATTCCCCACCGATTTTGAACAAGGGACCCATCATTTTCATCTTGCATGGGGCCTGCAAATTTTGTAGCCAGTCCTGGATAGATGTTTTTTTTGGTTTTTTGTTGTTGTTGTTTTTTAGCTGAGCCATCTGCCACCTGTTGGCAGCTCAGCGGCAGCTCAGCTCAGGCCGGGAATCGAACTGGTGACCCTGTTGCTCAGAGCTCTCACTCTTGAGCGAGCTCTTAACCAACTGAGCCACTCAGTTGGCCCTGGATAGACATTTTTAACAGCAAAATTGCGATTACAGGGTGTTCGTATTATTTTAATGAGCTACCTATTACTGTGCACTAATGTTTGCGTCTTTCCGGAATTCATATGTGACGGTATTTGGAAGTGGGGCCTTTAGGAGGTGCTTAGGTCATGAGGGTGGAGCCTTTGTAAATGGGATCTGTGCTCTTATAAAAGAGATCCCAGAGAGCTTCCTTGCCCGATACCACGTGAGGACACAGAGAGAAGAAGCCAGTCTATGAACCAGGAAGAGGGCTCTCACCAGACACTAAATATGAAGTCATTCTGACCTTGGATTTCCAGCCTCCAGAACTGTGTGGAACAAATTTCTGTTATGTATAAGCCAGCTGGTCTATGGTCATTTGTTATAGCAGCCCACACAGACTAAGACATCTATGTATGTATTTAAAACAAAACTGCTTAGAGGTTCGGCCGAGTGGCTCAGTTGGTTAAGAGCTCACTCAAGAGTGAGCTCTGAGCAACAGGGTTGCCAGTTCAATTCCCAGCCTGAGCTGAGTTGCCAACAGGTGGCAGAATGGCTCAGCTAAAAAAAAAAAAAAAAAAAAAAAAAAAAGGATGCAAAACTGCTTAGAGTAATACACATAGGGTTTAAAAAAATCAAAATGTATCAAAAACCCAGTGTCCCAGGGCCATGTGCCCCTCAGGCTCCTAGCTCTGTATCTGGCAGAACACAGGTGAAAGGGGTAAGTGAGTGAATGAAGGAATCACAGGCTATTGGAGTGGCCTGAGAGTGCATCTAAGCCCCATGGTTCTCAAACTCTGTTCCAGGCGCCCAGGGTGGGTGTCGGGTGGGGTAGGAGCTGGGCGCACTGGAGGGGTCATGGTGAGGGAGGGTGCCGATCTCCCCCACTGCAGTCAGAGAAGCTTATGGGGGTTTTGTCGATCTTGTGTATGGAGTTTCAAGCAAGATGTGACTTGATAAAAGGGTTCCACTGCAAATAATTAACCACAACAGCTGGCCCATTGTCTGCCTTCGTAAATAAAGTGTTTTTTTTAAGGTTTTATTGGGGAATTGGGGGAGGGGAACAGCGCTGGGGAATCGGGGGAAGGGGAACAGACAAGCTGCCGTCCCTCTACTCCTCAGTCCAGCCGTGGAGGACGTCGCCCCACTGGCCATGTTGGCACCATCACTGTGCTCCTCCTGGATGAGGCAGATCAGTTGCTGGCCTCTGGACGGCCACTCACAGCAGCTCCAGGCAGCTCACACTGGCTGCCGGCCACACACACACACACACACACACAGTAGCTTACAGCAGCCCACTGCAGCAGGGGCCACAGCTCACACCATCGCCGGCGACCCACGGCAGCCCAGCTCCAGGTCGAGCTGCTGTTCACCATCTTAGCTGCAGAGGGCGCAGTGCCACTGGCCTTCATGTGGGATCCAAACTGGGGCCCTGCTGCTCAGAGCTGGCATCCCAAGCCAGCTCTCAAACAATGCGCCACTCGGCTGGCCCCCTGTAAATAAAGTTTTATTGGAACACAGCCATGCCCACTTTGTACAGATTGCCTGTGGCGGCTTGTGATGTGCAACAGCACAGACTACGAGTTGCCACAGAAGCTTTCTGGCTGACAAAGCCTGAAATATTGATTATCTGGCTTTTTACAGACAAAGTTTGCCAACCCCTGATCTTGTCTAATCCTCCCGTTTTATAGATGAGCCAACTGAGCCCCAGAGTAGTGAAGGTCTCAAGTTAAGACAACAGGAGAGCTGGGAATGAAACCCCAGTCCAGGGACTTCCTGTGCATAGAGATTTCCAAGAGCCGCCCCCCCTCCGCCCCTCAGAGCTCCCCCTTCAGGGAACATCCAACCAGGGAACATCCAACCAGAAGACCTGGTTTTTACCTTTTCCAAAAAAAGGTCTGCAGGTTTTCAGCCCCAGCCTATGGTTTCCTCTCTGGTAAGCCTAGGTACGACAGGGGTGCCGCCCTCCATGGGTCTGAGTCAGACACAGAAAAGAGAGGAAGGGGTGAGGCGGGACTTGGAAACAATCAGCCTCCCCTCCCCCTCCTCTTTCATAGGGAAACAGCCTCAGTCTCTTGGGCTTGGAAATTGGATCTGCTGGGCCTCTCCGGTAAGCACAGGTGAGCAGGGGCTCAGGCATCATAAATAATGAGCAGAGTGTGGATTTGCTGATGATGGTGAGGCCTTCGGAGAAGTCAACCAACCACAGGAAGAAGGAACCGCGTTTGCCCAATGACACAGACGATCAGAGTAAGTGGGGAAGACAGGTTGTTCCCATCAGCACGGCGAATTGCACGCACATGGAACTCGTCCGCAAAACCAGAAAAGTGGCTTTAAGGAACGTGGTGGATTGCCAAAGACCACTGGCGTTTGTGCCCTGAAGCCTGGGCAGACCAGGAGAAGGGGTGGGCATGCTGATGGGTGAGCAAACAGCACCTCTCTGGAGACAGAGCTGTGGACAGACCTGTGTGGCATTGGACTTGTTACCAAACCTCTCTGGGCATCGGTTCACTCATCTGTAGTATGTACTTACCTCAAAGGGTTGTGGGCACAAGAATTTACCACTGGCATTTGGTTGGAAGGAATGGAAAACTTCAGTTCAAGTTAAAAGGGGTACCTCTACCAGAGGGAATCATGATATAGTTTTGTATCACCTGCTCTGAGGAAGCTCATCTCCCCATGGGCCACCCATTGCTGACATCTGCCACCTTCCTTAGCCAGCTGGGCTCACCCGCTGCAGGGTCATATCTGCACCAAAGCAAAACACGCCGGGTCCCCTCAGTGCTGTGCCCAGGCGGGCGGGAAGGCTGCACCCCCCCCCTCCTGGCTTTTCCGCTGATTTCTTTGCCCAGGGTCTGCACTGGGCAGGGGAGTGGGCCCACCTCTCTCTCATGTTAGCCCCTCCTCCAGAAATACCTTTCCCTCCTCTGTCTGGCCCCAAACTGCACAAACTTCAAAATCCAGCACATGTGTTGTGTGTTCTGTGAAGCCTTCTTCACGGCGCACCATCCGGGAGGTGGGCTGGATTCTTCAGCCTCCCCGCCATCCCTCTTGCTGTATATTGGCTGTGGGAGCAAGGAAGCAACCTCGGTGGGGACAGGGAACATTGGGTGGCCAGTATTATCACTCCACCACCCAGCACAGCCCTGACAAGACCAGTGCCCGGTAAATATTATGGCATGCACGGATGGATGGATGGAAGGATGGATGGCAGCACCCATTAGAGTTAGTTCTTGGCTTTGGCCCCCCAGTGTCAGCAAATGGGAGTAGGTCATCCCAACCCAAGGAGGCCCCGGGAATATTTGGGGGTCTCTCCCTCCCCATGCAGTGTTCTCCGTTCCCCTGAAGACCATGGAAACTGACTTGACAACAGCCTAGAGGGAGCTTGTCTCTTCAAGCTGCAGCTTTCAAAATCCTTCTCCTGTCATCAGAGCCTGAAAATAAAATAGTAACTATGCCTGGCAACCCCAGAGGATCAAAGGCAGCAAGAGAAAAACAAAATCAAATTACCCTGGAAGGCAGCAGCTCCTGGAAGAAATATGGCTTGTGAAACTGAAAGCCCAGAGACTGAGCCTGGCTCCACCCCTCCTTCCCCCCTCCCCCACCCCCAGTCGCTGGAGGTTCAGAGCAGGGATTACAAACTGCTGGGTGAAGGAGAAGCCAGCCCGCGAAAGGCTTTGTTTGATCCATACTGTGATTTTTAATTCTAAAATGTGGGTTCCAACATCTAAAATCATGCTTTCATGTAAAAGCCCAGCGTGTATGTCCAGCTCCTCCAGAAAAACCAGATGCTCTGGGTGCTGCCAGACTCTCCCCCGTCACAGCAATCATCTGGAGCTGAGCAGTCACTGCCCCTGCACTGCGGCATTCCCCAGGTGACCCCAAGCCCGCTCACCTGTACCTGCCTGGCCCCTGAAGGCGGATGAATGTGCGGCCTTCCTGGAAGACCCTGACTCCCAAAGCGCACATTTCCAAAGCTCCCGATGTCCGGGCTTTGGAGGACTCTTCCTGGCCTTTCTCAGGCTGGAACCATCACGGGTTCTCTTCCTTCTGTCTCATGCATTGGAATTTTCCGGGAGACCCCAGACCAGGGTCAAGATGCCAGTTCCGTAATCTCTGTGATTTGTCTGCCTACAGAGGGGAGGCCAGTCGCGGCAGCTAGGGGGCCTGGTCTCAGCGTTCAGGCTGAGTCAGGGGCTGCATGGGGCCAAGCTGTGCCTCTCTGCAGTTTAAGGGACAAAAAGGGAAGCTGACGAGGGCCTCACCCAGCTACTACCCACTCCAGCAGGTGGACCAAGGGCCCCGCTTGCTCCCCCAACACCTGGGCTACCTGTCCAGCAGGCCAAGACCCACCAGCCCTGGACTCTGCTGGAGGAAGACCGGCGGTGGGGAGGAGGGAGGTAGAGAGGAGAGGGAGTGTAGGGCATCCTACCTGTTTGCACTTGGATAACGCGGTGGGGTTTGTCTGCAGGAAGGGGTGCCGGCGGGCTGTTTGTTCTGAGAATGGTTAATCCTTGTTCAAATTTATATCCTGAATCTTTAATGCAACTCTGTCAAGGAAGAGTTGGCAGTGTCGCTCCGAGAGCTGGGCCTGACTTGCTCAGTCATGGACTCATACTCAAGCAGGAGGACGCGGGAATGCCCTGGCATCCCCCCGCATACACACACTTCTGGGAACCCCTGGAACCTCCAACTTCCAGGAAGGCTGGCCCAGGGAGGGGAAGGCAGGAAAGCTGTGACAGGCCATGCAGACCAGCTCTGTGTAAAGAAACCGTGTTATGCGACTCAGTGTGGGGACTTTGTTTGGCTCAGTTTGTTTACATGTGTTTATTTTTTAAATAAGTGCTGGTGTTGGCTGGGAGTTGAGTAACCTGAAGCCAAGTTAAAGCAGTGCAGGCCATGAGGACAGTGCAACCCCCACTTTCAAGGGGAGGGGCGGCCTTGTTCTCTGCAGACGCAGGAGGACAGAACAGCGGCCTGGCACCCTCTCAAAGCAGCCGTCATAAATGTCTAACAACCAGGGGGGGGGAAATTCCCTGATTTGTCACACTTGCCAATTCCTGTGGTATAAATGCTTCCACCATGGCTGATTTCAAGCGACCGATGTGAAGTTGCTAATCTGTGCAAGACAGCTCCAGCACACCTCCAAAGGCCCAGCATACTGCTCTGAGCTTTATTCTCTTTTCTGCTGAGCAGCAAACAGAAGCCATAGAAAACTTGGAACAATAAACAAGTAGCAAAACCCTTTGTCTGCTAGTGAAAGGGTAAAAGGACTGGTCAGTGGCTAAATGCAAAGATGAAACTAGCTGGGAGTCCCCCTATCCCACCCCCAAATCCCAGCCCAAAGCAGCAGGGCTGGAGGCAGCGGGCTGCAGGTGGCAGGCAAAGCCCAGTCAAAGCTGCTTGCGAGAGAGCCCCGGGCACAGGTGGGGGGGGGGACAAGTTACAGGGATCATTCTTGCACGAGGAATGCAAAGCTGGCGGAAGCTCAGTTTCATCATCTGTAAAATGGGCGATCACAACACCCTGAAGAGCACTATGAGAATTAAATGAGCTGATGCGTGGAATGTTTGAGGATTAACCAGGAAGTGTAGTTCTGGTAGAGGAGACACCACCCAGCGGGGATAGGGGGACGGAGGTCCCAGGCCGTGGGCAGCCACTCAGGGCTTGGGGAGTTTATCTCCAGCAAGAAGGGCAGGAAGGAAGCCAGTCTTTATTCAGATGGGAGGTCAGGAGGACAGACGTGCAAACACACAGAGGGAGTGAGCAAAAACATGGTAGTGATGAGCCACACAGGTCCTCTGGGAGCATTGCAACAGGCACTGCTCATCCTCACAGCTCGGGGTAAAGTCTTGACCACTTACTAGACCAGAATTTCCCAGACTGAGTTCTTTGGAAAATCGCAGTCTTCGGTAGGGACCCCCAAAAAGGGTTCCCTGGCCGACACCAGCCTGCCTGCTGGCACAGGTGCCCCAGCCCTTCTGAGTATCAGATGAGTGACCCGGCTACTTGGACTTCTAATTCTCGCTAGAGTATTAATGGATGCTAGTGAATTAATGTATTGCCTTTCTCGGATAGTACCTACACTTTAAGCGGGGCCTCTCAGGGGCCTTGCGAGGAGGAACGATGAGTCGGCAATATCAGGGAGGCTGAAACTCGGGGACAGGGTCCAGTTTGGGGCCGAGTCTTTCTGATCACTTCAAAGAATAACACCCCAGTATATGGTCACGTTGGCCACTCAGGGGCTGACACTCGCTTGCTCTCACTGTTGGCCCCCAAGCAGAGGCTCAGGGAAGAATTCCTTCGTACCCTCCATGCAGACCCCACCGGACTGAGGACAGCACCACCGTCCCCGCCCTCCACCCCGGGAGGAAGGGCTTCCTGAAGCCCCGCCCCTGCCCCTGCAGCCAGCCCAACCGGCCACCAGCACGCAGTTTCTCATCCCCCAGAGGCTGGCCTGCAGCACGTGTAGCATTAGCCCCGCCCAGTCATCTTGTTAGCATGATTCAGTGCTAAATGATCTGATTAAATGGGGCTTTCTATGGCCCAGCTGGAGGTGATCAGCTCCAGCAAGGAATTTGTTTTACCTCAAACTGGGATGTTTAACCCCAGGAAGAGGAGGGAAAAAAAAAAAATCCCATCTCCCTCCCTTCCCCTGATTCATTCTCTTGCTGCCCGTGGATGGGCTGAGCTGATGGGCCGTTTGCAGAGACGGTTGGATGGAACCAGATTCTGTGACGGGGAAAATGGCATCTCTTGTGGCCACTTATGAGAAAGGAAAACGCGAGCAAGGCAGGGCTGCCCATCTTCCCCTGTGAGGAGAGCATCGGAGAGCATCGGGCCCGCCAGTCATGGCGGGGTACCAGGCGGCGGGGGACCAGGCTGCCGCAGCCGAGCACAGCCCTCGGCCACGCTCCCTGTGGGGACTCCATGCACATGTCAGTCCGGGTCCATAGTCCAGCCTGCGTCTGGCCAGCCTCTACTATCCCAGAGATGTGCCCCAGAATGCTGGGTGGTCTTTTTTTGTGTGTGGGGGGGAGCAGGGGGGACGGCAGAGGGGACCTTGAGATTGAGAAATTTGTGCCATGCCATGGGATCTGGGTTTGACTCTGGCTGTGCTATTGACTAGCTGTGCGACCTTGGGCAACTGACTTACACTCTCTGAGGCTTAGGATCCTGGTCTGTAAAATGGAGATACTAATCTGACCTTCCTTGCAGTGTGATTTTAAGAATCAAATGAGATACAAGTGACATGTCAGGCCAGCACAGAAGCTGGCAGACAGCCGGGGCTCAGGCTCGGGAGACAGGGAGATACTAGTGAATAAGAAGGAAGAGAACTCATTCTGGGTGTTCTCACAGCCTATGACCCAGCAACCCCCTTCCAACACGTGTGCTGAGGGGCCGTCGTGCACCCGCAGATCCAGGAACACATACAAGAATGTTTATAGCTACTGCTATGTTATAGCAAAACACCAGGGAGAAGGGTCCAAATGTGCATCAGTAGAGGAATGGGTGCATAGATTGCTGTATGCGCCAGTGGGCTATCACATAGAGTTAACAAAGCATGGATTCCTGCCACCTGCAAAGGCCTCAGTGAGTCCTTGGAAAGGGAATATTGGGTTAAAAAACAGAACATGCAACTTACCTTTTTAAGGGAGGTTAAACACAAGCATAATGAATGTCACCGTGTTGATGAATGCATCTGTAAGGATAAGACTCTTTTTGAAAAGGCTGGGAATGATAAACACAGAATTCCGGGCTGAGGCTGCTGGGGAGGGCAGGCGGAGGTGGGGGAGGAGGGGGCGGGGGGCAGGGTGCCAGAGGGCGCAGGACACCAGTGGTGTCACTGATGCTGCAGGTCTGGAGCTTTGCAGGCGTTCGTGCCATTATCATGTTCTCCACTTACGTGTATGTGACATAGGTTTCTTCCCATGTGTTAAAATTACTTTTTAATAATGAGAAAAGACAATTGGGAAATCTCTCCTTCTGGCTGCGCAGCGAGGGGTGGGGAGGGGGCGAATGGGAAAACAGTGCCTGTGGGAACGCAGAGGGTCAGCCACCGGGGACACCAGTCTGGAAGTTTCTTACAGTCTCCCACACACTGACTGCACGACCCAGCAACCCCATTTCTCGGTAGTTACCCAAATGTCCCTACAGAGATTTGTACGCACGTATTCATTGCAGCTTTATTCATAATAGTCCCAAATTGGAACCAACCTGGCTGTCCATCAACAGGTGAAGGATGAACAAACAGGATACTGTTCAGCAATATAAAGGCATGAAGTGTCGTTCGTGCCACAGCAATGGATACCCAAACCGCTGCAGTGAGCGAAGGAAGCCAGACTCAAGGGGGGCATCCTGTATGATTCCATTTATAGGAAATCCCAAAAGCCTAATGATTAGCAGAGCGGTGTTGCCAGGGTGGACTTCCCTGGGATAGGAAAGGGAGTGGGGTCCCTTTATCCAGATCCCAAGGCCCAGGATGACCCCGGCTGACCTCTGAGCCCATCCCAGTCTGTCCAAGGTCAACTTGGTTCCACCAGGAGGCCCCAGGGGTGTTCCTTCTATCTGGAGCTA